TCTGGCTGTGGTAGAGATCTTTTTGAGGAGCAGAGACCATCACCAAGTGGGAAGGAGGACATCACTGTCCTTTCTCCAGTCACTTGTTTGCATGGTCATAGAGAAGTTTTAATGACATTCACTGGGTGAGACTAAACCACCTCCTAAGGAGTTATATGATTTAGCTCTGGGCTCAGGCTATGAAGCCTGAAACTAAGGACAATTACTGTCTGTAAAATGTGTGTGTCTCCCCAAAGTCCATGTGTCAAAACCCTAACCCCTAATATGATGGCACAAGGGAGCCTGGGGTGGTGACTAGGTTATGACAATGCAGCTCCCGTGATGGGAGTAGTGGTTTATAGGAGACCTCAGACAGCACTCTAGTCCCTTCTGCCCTCTGAGATGGCTATTTATAAATTAAGAAGAGAGCTCCTATCAGACACTGGATGTTCGGTCGCTCTGATCTCATATTTCCGTTCTCCAGAACTGTGAGAAGTAAATGTGTGTTGCTTATCAGCATCCAGTCTGTGGTATTTTTGTTACAGCAGCCCAAACTAAGATGTAATTACGTATAATTACAAATTCCTGTGTTTGTTGCCTGTTTCTCCCAGTGGAATCTTAGCTCCCTGGGCCTTTGGTGATCACTGCATCTCCAGATATAGGCAGACCAGCAAGGGTGGGGGAGGGAGAAGGGAGGGGGGGGCAGGAGGTGCTAGGGGCAGGTGAGACAGCACATTATTTGCAGAGAGCAGGGAGGAAGGGGTTCTGAGAATCCTTCAAGCTCAAACTTCCTAAGATGAGCAGCGTTTAAGATCAGTAACAGGTGTTGCCTGATGGTACTTGAACTGCAAGGCCTACACTCGCCTCACCTACTAAGTGAGGCCTTTCCCTGGGAGCAAACATTTGGCTGTCCAGTAGCTGAGTCTGACAAGACCCTGAAAAGCACTTTCCATGTAAATACACAGTTGCCAGAAGAAGGCTTTTTGTGACCTCCAAAGTATGAGGTGGGTTAAATCCCTATATCATCTTCCAGGGCATCATAGGAGGTCCTTTGCAGAATTCTCAAGGGTAAGAGCTATTTTCTTTTGCCTTGTACATTTGTATGCATTTAATCCCTCCTCCCCACC